GTGACTACAGTCTGAAAGGTTGTAGAATCTTTAACTGGGACGACTATAGTCTCATGGGACCACCTGTAACACTATTGTGGCACACATGTATTACAGTTATTTTTTGGGGAAAGGGGAATAGTAGATTAATATTATACTACTATTCTTTATTTAGAAAAAAAAACTTTATTAGGTTTTTTAAAAATTATAACTTGTTTGCTATTACCAGTTGAACAATTTAGGATAGAATTGTAGACCCTTTCCTTGTACTAAACCCCAGTCTGGGATGGTAGGTCAAATATATCAACATGGGTGCAGTCAATAAACCTAAGAATATCTGGCAGACCATGCTCTGCTAGGTATCCTCTAGCTACATTTTGCCTTGCTTGTTATATGCCCGGAAATGATATTCACTTCAGTATTAGTCAAAAACAAAATGAAAGAAGTAGATGCACTGAAACCTGTATTTACCTACACAAGAGGCTAATCAAAGTATATTACTCCCCACATTCTAATGATGGCCCCTATAACTTAGGTCAAGTATTTGCCGATAATTTGTTGTTTGAACAACAGCCATGCCATGGTCTTGACTCGTACCTCTCTAGTAGGTAACTACCATCTGCCAAGAGATTGAAATTTATGTAAACTATCTACCTAGAAAAAATATTAAGATAAGTTAGCCACATGTATTGACTGAAAATATACGATATTTTGGACAAGGTGGTTGTAATAAATGCTTACTTCAATACGCACTGGTAGTCCATCCACAGAATTAATAGGCTTTTAATCCTCATAGAGTTATTTACACAAATACAAAACACTATCTTTGAGCATCCGAAACCGGCGTAGAAATTCGTTGTCGGGGAATTCCAATAGATAAAGTATTCTGATCACGTATCGATCGCCGATGTAATTTTCTTTCTTGTTTTTCAATTTCTGACACGAAAATGTAGTTGCAATAGGCTCGAGACATCTTTTTTGTATTAAAATGGTTTGAGGATAAACTTAAACCCACGTCCACGAAAGAGGATAAAATTGTCCTTTTCAAATGTCAAAAAGGGATAATTTTTTCTCTTTCCATTGGGCCCATGCTACGGATGGGGAGATATATGTCTACCCGTTATGTCAAACGGGGATATACTATAGAGATAAGATAATTTTATCTCTTGTCAGTGGTGGATATAATCGGGGGATATAATTTTTGTCTCCTGCCCATGCTCACAGGGTAGATAAAACTAAGCAAGGGATAAAATTTTTATCCCTTCCCCGAGGATATATTCTCTCCTGCCCATGCTAGACCGGCTGGAAAGATAAATGGGTATGCTTTACTGGGGAATGACAACATTTCTTATAATAATGATTTCTTAAATTTACGCGAACACTACACATTGAATAAAACTAAATTTACGGATTTTATTGCGTTTATTTCACTACTTTTACTTATTTTTAATTCCCGACGTTTCGGGTGCTTTACAGCAACCATGGTCACGGGGCGGACTTAGATGTTTGACGTCCCAATGTCATAGTTAGTCCGGCTACCTTCAGTTTTTGAATATTAATTTTTGGTCCGATTTACGCAAAACGAGCTTATAGAAATATCATGAAGTCTTGCAGTGGTTAGGTCAAACAAAAAAATCCATAAAAACCCGCGTGAAAGAACATATAGCTGACGTGAAGCACCGACGCTCCGGGAAGTCTGCAGTCTGCGAACATGTTCAAGATCGTCCCCACCATTACATTCATTTTGATAAACCACAAATTCTCGCAAAAGAACACCGATTCCTACCAAGGATGATACGCGAGGCTATTGAAATTAAAAAACATCCAAATTTCAATAGAGAAGATGGATGGGTGCTGCCACCTGCTTGGGATCCTATAATTAACAAAATTAAACCCAAACCTAAGCATACCACTGCAAGACTTGATGATACTATAAGCTCGTTTTGCGTAAATCGGACCAAAAATTAATATTCAAAAACTGAAGGTAGCCGGACTAACTATGACATTGGGATGTCAAACATCTCAGTCCCCCCCGTGACCATGGTTGCTGTAAAGCACCCGAAACGTCGGGAATTAAAAATAAGTAAAAGTAGTGAAATAAACGCGATAAAATCCGTAAATTTAGTTTTATTCAATTTCTTATAATGATAATTATTGCGAACTGATGATATGAATGCAGATTAACATTATCTGTCATTTTAGTGACTTAGAACTTTCCCTCAGATAACGCCAAAAACTTAATCTGCTTACTTCAATAACTAGCAACATCCACAATTAAACATAAAAAGAATGAACTAATTTTCTTTATTAACAAATTTAGTCCTCTTGTTCTTGCCATCCAGGAGATGTGGCTTAGACCTGACTCCCAATTCAGGGTCTCAGGTTATTCATGCCTTCAGGATGATAGGAGCTATGGACATACTGGTTCCTCTATTCTGATTTCAAGAAAAATTACATACACTTCTATACCTCTTCCTCCCATAGTTCCTCAATAAATGATGTTGCAGTCAAGGCTCTCGAAATATCTTTTCTATATGTATACATTCCTGATCCTAATATTAGCATCTTTGATGAACTTATTAATCTCATTTCTTCTCAAACTCCCCCTCTGTTGTTATCATGGAAAATTTTAATATTCACCATACTTCATGGGGCTCACATTACTGCGATTCTCTATTATCTGCTTTCTAGATATTATAATAGATGACTTAAATCTTTGTATCCTTAATAATGGTTCTCCTACCCGCCGTGTTTCACCTCAGAATGTAAGAAGTGCAGTGGACCTCACTCTTTGTTATCCTGGCTTAGTTTCTCTTCTATCATGGAAAACATTATCAAATTCACATGGTAGTGATCACTATCCAATTATAGTCACATCAAAAGCAGAATAGCATCATTACTCTTCTGTCTTAGATCAAGTGATATCAACAATTCCCTCCTTGCATCATGAAAATATACATTTAGCCTGTACAGAATTCAGAAATGCATTATTATATACCGCCAGTTGGACTATTCCTTTAAAATATGTTTTATTGCACATCTACTTGCATAAAAAGGATAGAGGCTGAACAAAAATACTCTTAAACAATGACTATGGAAAACTACATCTCCTATAATCAAATAGCAGCTGAAACAATAAAATTGTCATCTCAGAAGAAAAAATCCGGCTTGCATAGATTTTGTTCTAGCTTATATCCCTCCACACCTCCTCTAGTCTGGAAAAATATTACAAAATATTGCTGTTCTATGTTAGTTGAACAAAATGTTTCTTTCAATGATGTTCCCTTCAATTTGGCTTGAAGAATTTGCTCTTAATCTTGCCCCTTCTTTAGCTCCAACACATGCTGAATGTTTAGTTTTTAATTCCCCTTTTAACAATCTCCAGATAAATTTGATGCCCCCTTTTCTTATGAGGAATTATTTACAGTTTCTCAGGGTCCTAAAGACTCCTCTCCAGGAATAGATGGGATTCCTTACTCATTCATCATTGAAAACAGTAAAAAACTAAAATTATTTCTTGATATTCTGGACCACATTTTTGACTCAGGAATTTCTCGCATAGAATGAAAGACATATCAAATCATATCCACCCTACTTTACAGATGGCAATAAAACAATAAATTAAGTAGGCATCTTTGACCTTGTCACTTTGCAGGGTCACAGGCTAGGGTAGATCTTATTAAATTTCGATAGATTTTAATTAATTTATTTAGTTAATTTAAAAAAAAAATATTTTTTTTGTAAAATATCAGTGCCATAGGCTTCTACTCAGTTCACATGTTACACACCCAAATTTTTTTCCAGACAGTAAAAAAGGTCATCCAGTGTATTTTATGTGATTTTAATAACTCAAGCAATATTAAACTGTAATTTGTTTGTCATATCATATAACACATTAGGTACAGAGTGTAGAGATAAGAAGAACAAACTCTGTATAAAAAAAGTGTCCGTAGAAAAGCGCTAAATAAGGGTGGCGAGACTGTTTCTACAGTGTAAATTTTAAAGAACTTTTTATAATTTTTTATTGCACAAACTTTCACCATGATTCCATTTATTATAATTTTTTTGTTTTCAAAATTTTTATTTTCAAAATCACTTTCAACTTATTTTACAGCGATTTTTCATACCCTGAAGCTACTCAAGCGCTGTTGTGGAGAGTTTGTGAACTGTTATTTACTGCTTACAGATGGCCACTTTTTCAACTATTCTCCTATGGGAGATTGTCCTCCTTACCTCTATACTCCATGACATCAATATTGTTCTAACAACATTGTCTGTCTTTTGTTTTAGGTAACTCAACAGATAAGTTGTCCAAAATCAATTACATAATATTCGCTTGTTACACTTTCTTGTATTATCAATTTCCGTTTCTTATGCAGAGTTTGTGTCTCAAATAAACTCAGACTAAGAACCTTATAGATATATTATAGTAGATCTAGTTGATGGAGTTGTGGTAGCTCAGGGGCTAAGAAGTGGTTGCTGTAAATTTCACAGTATGCAAGCAACTCACTTTTAAACCCCACCAGCACCAATTAAATTGTTAATTACAATTTTAAGTGCTGATTTACCACATGCTAAGTGAAGGAAAACATCATGAGGAAACCATGCAGGCCTGAAAAATAAGAAAGAATAATATTTTGAAGTTTCATAATTGCAATTTTAAGCGCATATTTACTAATTTTTCAGCCGTCAAGAAACTAATTGCCCCCCACACAAAAGATTGAAAAATAAATATGCTATTTTAGAACCTACATAAACATATCACTAGTCTTTACTAACCATGTGAAAGATTGTCAACAACAAAGGCTTAGATACATCAGTGACAATACAATACAGTCTCCGAACGTCGGCCATCGCTTGATGTTGTCATGTAACACGCTCTGATCAGATGAGGTATGTGAAGTTTTGCTAACATGTATCGGGACAGCACAGCAAAAGTTTTGCCACACTTTAACTTTAAGATGTAGTCAGAAAAAACATTTGCCCTTAAAGCTCTTGCATTGACAAGAATGTATACTCACTTGGTTAGATTGCAAATCAAATGGGTTACTGTAGGTATTCATTGGGACATAGAATGACTTCGCTGGCATAGGTTGTGTTCCAGAAATCTTGTTTTGAACTCCTCCAATATTATTACCCCGCTGCTTTTGTTGCATTTGGATTCCTCCAGTACAATCAAGATTTTTGGAAGATTGCTGTAATATAGAAACTCTTGGATCTTTGACTGTCATTAAATAATTTAGTTTTGGCCTGGTAATTGACATAGATAGTTTTAAAGTTCGATCAATTATGCAAATTACATATTAAATCATTGATGGTTCAAGCAATCACATTTTGGTATAATAAGTTTATTTACAGGGAAATTAAACATGAGATATGTAGATAGAAAAGGTAGAAAAATAATAAAAATCAACAGTTGCCAACCAGTCAGTAAAGAGTAGTAACAATATAAGTAATATAAGCAATAGGAAGTCTAATTCCTATGAATTAATAACAAAATTTCACTGTGAAATTATGTGAAATTTTGTTATGAAAGAGTGAATGAAAATATTCTTTAATTAGACTACATAAAGTCTTCTTGTGTAAGTTTTTAGCAAGGTCTTTTACAGTAGAGAATGAAGTGATAGTGTAGCTTTCTTAACTGTCATAAATTACTTTGTAATGGCCAATCTACACAAATCGTAGACAGAGAAACCTATAGACAAATTAACGCCTTCTATCGCATTCGCACACGATAAAGATAGATTTATGCATATGTCTTGCATAGAAATAAAACAGAGCGATGCGATTGTTTGTCCCTTTCTCCATGCCGGTTTTTTTGTTTAGCAAACTACACTTTGCTAAACAACTTTGACAGTTCGTAGCGATCTAAGGAGTTTAAAAGTTGGTTTAAGTGAGAAAAAAGTGTTTTGTGAGCTTAAGATTGGTGAATCTTGTTCAGTTCAGTTCTTAGAATAATTAAATTTTTTATCTAAATATGTTTAAAAGTCATAAAGATTATTATATAACCTAAAACTATGTTATCATCCTTTCTCACTCTAAGCCACGCTAATCATTAGTCTATGTCAAATTGAAGTTTCTGTTTAGAATGTCAAAATAACATCTTTTTACTACATGCATGTGAAAGTATACATATATAGTACTAATAATGAAAAAGTAATTTTAAATATTTTGTCTGTGTCTGTATGTTCCGGCTAATCTGCAAAATAACTGAACCAATTTTGACTGGACTTTCACTAGCAGGTAGCAAATTTTATAAGAGATAACTTTGGTAACTTTTATTTTAGAAAAACAATTAATATTCCGCATGAAAAATATCAGAACCCATGAAATCCAATTTCCATGAGGATGAAGTTACGGAAAACAGCTAGTTTTGAATAAAACTAATTGATTTTCGACTATAATTTTAATTACAGTCCGTTTCAAGAATTCAGATTCGGAATTCTATCAGCCTTGAGAGACACAATTTACAGATTTGTTTTAAAAACACATTTATACTAAATAGTCCTAGATCACATGATTTTAACTACTAGTCTAAGTTACTTTCACACCAATATGTTTCAGTCAATACTTTTACTTTACTCTTTTTTAATTTAATTTGTAAATGACAAAAATAAGAATATTTAAATTTTATTACACCCCAACACAACATACTTAAACCCTAGAACTCTACACGGGGTGCTGGAGCAACCCATAATATTTTTTTGTTGTTTGATTTTTGTTGGTGTGTATTCCACTGATTTATCCTCAAGCGTATTTTAGTCTATGGTCACGGTGTACAGATCTGTCAGTATTGCGGCAACAGCCGGGTAGTGTGAACGCGTGTACGAGTGTAATGGGGTGCTGTGACCCCAGTGAAGGAACAATGTAAGTGAAGTGATTTATTCGAAGTATTAGTTTAAGTAATATTTTGCTTACTATGGTGAACTTAGCAGCTGTCATTGCATATTTATTACCAATACTATAACATAACCATAAATTAATATATATTGTCTGCAGATTGGCTGTAAACAGAGGACTGAATAATGATCACATACGTTTGTGTGTAAACCCTGAATCAAGCGATGAGGAAGAAGCTGCTTTATTGGGGTCAGTTACAGAACAAGCTGAGGATAAAATGGATGGTTTGATAAAAGATTTTCACGCAGTAGGTGACGTAGGGAACTCTAGTAGCGATGATAATATGACCACTCACTCTTTTGTCATATTGCCCACCAAGATCAACTAAGAAGAAAGTTGTGATGATGTTGTTCAAACTTCATGATACTCCGAACAAAACAATGAAGTGGATCTTACAGAAATTATTGAATATTGTAATAAAACAATGGGTGGTGTCAACGTTTTTGATGCAATGGCCAAAAAATACTCGGTTTTAAGAAAAACTAAACTCTGGCCCATGTGCATTTTTATGGGTTATTAAATGGCATAGACATTAACTCCTGGGTTCTATACACATGTTCAAAAGCTTTTGGTAAGCCAGTGATAAATTTTTGAAGCAAAAATTTGAAGGAATTGGGACTCAATCTCATACAAGAGTTTCTGGAGCAATGCCTACAAAGCCCTAATTGGAGGAGGGATATAAAACAAAAAATTGCAGCAATCCTGAAAAAACCCATTCTAGTCAATCCTCCTGTACCTGAACGTCACTACCAGGGACAATGTGGTTTGGCCCAAGAAATAGGGATCGCAGAAGTAAAACTAAGTGCATCAAGCGTAAAATTCCGATTTGCTTGGAGTCAAATATAGACACTTTAGTTTGGGGTGGGATAAGAGTAACGCTAGTAAGTGTAGGGCTCTAGGGTTAATCATTCTTTTCCTAGTCCCTTAACACAATACCAGGATAGTAAAAATGCTTGCCAGACAAGTAGTAAAATTACAAATTTTGTAAGACCGACTTCAATATAAATCGGTTCACTTAGAAAAAGTTCTGAGGTAACACACATAAAAAAATTGAGACCTCTTCCTTTTTCTTGAAGTCGGTTAAAATACAGATAAGTTTTCGATTGTAGGTTTATTACAGCTAAGAAGAATGTCGAAAGAGTAAATGCAAAGAATAACGTACCTTCTTATTTCGCAAATCTTCTACAAATAATTTTTGACCCATGCAATCCAGTCCATTAAGGTTTGTAAAGAGAATTGTTGCATCGTTCTCATCAGTTAACCCTACTGTTACTTTATAACTATCCGGATGTACATATGTAAGATTGTCGAGTATTATTTCAGTCAAACCGCATCTGTCCCTAATAAGTGATTTCACATCAGCATACCGCATCTGAGAATACAAGAGTAAATTTAAAAATTCAGTTTCGATAAAATAACAGAGAAAGGGCATAAGCAGACCTTATTTGGCAAATTGTGAATTATTAATAACATTTTACAACGTTATTACGTTACTATGTTGTCCTATAAAGAAAAACAATGAATATCAAAGTACGTTGTACGCTCAACTCCATAGATACTCAACTCCAAAGAGTATAGTAATATATACGGAATGCTCAACTCAATCAATTATTATTAGACATCATAGACAGAGATTTTTTATTTAACTGGCTCTACGGCTCTGGGTACTAGCTCTTCTGAGCCTATAATTTCTTTCAGAATCTTCATTTTATATATTTTTCTTCACAATATGCTGATGCATCACATTGTGAAGTTTTTGGGAGATTTTGACGACAGCTTAACCCAGTGGACTGTTGACATAGATAAATAAATATGTAGCAAGACTGTTGATGACGACAGCCACTCAAGTTCATAAGGAGCGATCAAATTAACTTGAGGTTTATATCAACATCAAAGCACTTGTTTCGTCGTTTTCTCTAATAGTTCACAAGCGCAGACACATAATTTACAAAATCACATAACTTTTACGAATTAAAATCCACTTCAAACCAATATTCAAGCGACAAAACAGGAGCGACAGTCCGTCGTCGGCCAATTTCCCGCCAAAAATCCCATAGACATAGATTCCAAATAGATTTATATATGAATACATAGATTACTGTGTATCCTCTTATTAGTCTGTGGACTAATATGATGATTAAGTCTGTCAGGCTCAGAAGGGCTAGTACCTAGAGCTAGAGCCGTAAAGCCTGAAAAAATATTGGTGTTCGTCACTGACATCTATATATACCGTAGACAGAGAAACCTATAGACACCGCCATAGCGTGTCGCAGAAAGAGACAAAAAAAAATACGTCACTATATTTAGGGTTACAAGTGTGAGGAAAAATTTACCCCACAACTAGCTATAAAATTAGAAATTAGTACGTGAAGTAAGGGAACACTGCTATTAACGATTATCATTGGCATGTATTGTAATTGATGGAGAGCTAAGTGGACTGTATTTGACTAATTATTTATTATAATTTACTTTTGTTAAGAAAGAAGAAACTAAAAAATTATGATATCTATCTGACTAATAAACTTAAAGAAACTGGTTGCGCGGAAAACCATTCGCGTTTTTTATTTTGACGGTAGGAACTTGTAGAATCATTATTTCCTTTCCAAACAATATCATTCGTACCCTCCTATCGACACATCGGGGTGGTGGGGTGGGAGGGGAAAGAAGACGATTCTAGAACATCGCGTAATCACCCGAGCCGAGGATATATAAGACACGCGCGACCGATGCGCGAGCCTCTTCTCCCGCCGCAGTCGTCGTTGAACTACAACCTCCTCTTCCCGCGCGCTCGTTTGGAAACACCTCACTAGTGGAAACCGCTTTGGCCTGGAAGCAGTCTAGCTCCAGGAACCCGCCTCACCTCGTGTGAGATATCGTCGCGCACCACCCCTCTCCGGAGTGTTCCAGAAGTCGCCGCTATAGTGATCGACAGGAAGAAGAAACCCCGGTGAGTCAATATTCCTTAATTATACCTGCTTGCTAATAGTTTAACCCGCTCCAATCTGTGTTTTTTTTCCTAGTCAAGCAGGATTCCTTTCATCGATTCGACAAGTAATAGTTTAGTTTAGGGAAGAGCGAGTGCATTGTACCGCATGCTATAGTAGTCGCCTTATGTAAGCGTAGAAGCAATCGCATATACAGTCCACTTTAGTTAATATCTCGCGTAATAGGTTTGAGGTTTGACCGGGGAACTAGATTTTCGGCAGCCTTAAACACGTGGCTCCACCATTTTATGGTCCTTCGAGCCGGATCTGGATTGGTGTTTAGTGGTTATCCAACCATTTTCTGGTCGAATTATTAAATTAATTGTTTAGATAACGCACTCTAATTTATAGAATAGACTTAAATAGTGTTCGTTTAAATTAAAATTTTGATTTGTTACTCGCAAACAGAATTATTCATTTAATAGCGCTCGTATTTGGTTAAATTTAAAGCTTATTAAATAATTGAAACGGCGTGATAGCAACCGTTTGATACGCTTACCCCACAATTTTATAAAATTATTAGGTTTAGCAAACGACGCGTAGCCTTGACTGCATCGGGCGCTCGATCTGATTACGTAATACGGCACGCCGAGTATTCATCCTACGTCGTTTATGCGTGTGAGATTAATTGTGATTAATATAACTTTATTATAATAATTTAAAATGGCAGTTAGTGGAAGTGAAATCAAAATTAAAACGCTTTATGCCAAGAGGGACATACTCTTTTCGCGTATGCAGAATATAAGTGATTATATAAAGAACATTCATATAGAGGCAGTACGGGAGGCCTTTTTAAATGAAATCGAAACGATAGATAATTTGCGGACAGATTACGAAAGAATATTAGATCAAATTAATCATTCGGAACTACAAACCGACCCGAAATACATAGTGAACTACCAACCACTGCTGGCATTCGAAGATATGTTGTGTCGCGTGAAGAGAACCGCAAAATTGCTACAATCTCAAGGTGAAGCGAAGCCTGAAATGCAGGTACGCCCTCGTGACTCAATTAGGTTACCGCCAATAGATATTCCGGTATTCAATGGTGATATTAAGACGTGGCCCTTCTTCTTCAGTAGTTTTCAAAACAATATACACAACAACCCATCGTTATCGGACGCTGAAAAATTATATTACTTAATTATCAAACTTAGTGGCAGAGCACAGTCGATCTGCTCGGGTTTTACACCTACAGCAAACAATTACGTATTAATATTTGAAACGCTTAAAACTAAATATGAAGATAGGAGAATGTTAGCTTCCGAATATTTGAACCAGATATTCGATCTTAAACCTATATCATCCGCGAACATCAACGGCTTAGAGCAGTTTCTCGATAAATTTGTGGCATCGGTGGCTGCACTTAAGAATTTGAAGTTTAATGACCTCATGGACGTGGTGTTTCTCCATATAGCATTAAAGAAATTAGACTCCGACACCGTGCGTGCGTTTGAAATGGAGCATCGTAGCTCGGAGATGCCTTCCTTTCATTCATTAGCATCGTTCGTGCGAGATCAAATAAAGGTGATGCAGCGCTCACCGAACGTTAAACAGGAGATTAAAAGGTGCGTCGACCGTAGACAGACTCAACCATCTAAAATAGCAGGGTCGTTAACTTACGTAACCGCTACGCCGACATCGCTCCAGCATACTTGTATAGTATGTAAAGATAAACACGGTAATTTATATAACTGTGCGACTTTTCGTAAATATTCACCAAGCGAACGTTATAAGTTAGTAAAAACAAACAACCTATGTTTGAACTGCTTAAGCGATAAGCATTTAGTTGCAAAATGCAATTCGAGTTCCGTATGTAGCAAGTGCGCCAGGAAACATCACACGCTATTACATTTTGAAAATAGCAACATAGCGGCGTCAAGTAAGGCGAATAAGGAATTCACCCCTACTAAGGTCAACGATTCTAGCGGTCGACCTGGTGATGTCGCTCTGTGCTCATTGGCAAATATGGGAGCACAACCTCCTTCAACCGTGTTACTGGGTACGGCGCGTATTTTGGTTAGGGATTCGCGTGGAAACAAACAAAGCGTCCGTGCACTGCTGGACAGCGGAGCCCAAAATAGCTTTATAACACGACAATGTTGTCAGCGCTTAGGCTTAGTAATAAATAGGTCACTTTCATGTCCTGTAGTTAAAGGCATCGGAGGTACTAGTAAAGCGACACAGGGATATATAAATTTAAAATTTTATTCTCGGATAGATCGTAACGTTAACTTTGATATAAATGCACTAGTAGTAGATAGGGTCACTGAACGGTTGCCAACCGTTTCGGTTGACACCTCGGCAATGATTGAATTTAAAAATTTGACTCTAGCAGACGACACTTACGCCGTTCCTGGAAACATAGACATGCTCATTGGGGCATCGCTTTTCCCTCATCTTTTGTTAAACAATAAGGTCAGGGGCAACTCCTCGCATACCGCGCCTTACGCACTGGAAACCGTATTGGGCTATGTGATCCTTGGCTCCGCCCCCATCCTAGATAGTATTTCGGCAGCCTCTTATTGTGGTATGGCTGTCGAACCGCTCGAGTCGTTAGTCCGCAAATTTTGGGAGATGGAGGAGGTGAACGTCCCACCCATAGCTAGTTCAGATGACAGGATATGCGAGGAAATTTACGTCCGCACGACCGTTCGTGATCGCGACGGTAGATATAGTGTAGCGCTACCCTTTAAGGGAGATGTTTTATCTCTCGGCGATTCGCGTCAAATGGCGGAAAAACGTTTCTACAGCTTGGAGCGTAGGATGCTCGCTTCGCCCCAGTTAAAGGAAGCTTACGACGGCGTCATTAACGAATATATAAGAGAAGGTTACATATCACTTGTGGCTTCGAAATTAGATAACTACGAAGACACACCGTCGTATTTTATACCACACCACGGAGTCATTAGAGAGGACAAACTTACATCTAAATTACGTGTAGTGCTCGACGCTAGTGCTAAAACTAGCACTCATCTGTCGCTTAACGATATCCTCTATAGTGGGCAAAATTTACAGGGCAGTTTATTTGATATAATAGTCAATTTTCGTTTGTTTAGTATAGCACTATCCGCCGATATTCGCCAAATGTTTCTTTGCATAGGGGTCCGTGAATGCGACCGTAGATTCCAGCGCATTTTATATCGTTTCCACCCAAAGGAACCTCTAATGGTGTTAGAATTTAACCGCGTTTGTTTTGGTTTAAAGTCGAGCCCATTTCATGCGTTACGCACGGTGAGACAGCTCGCTCACGATGAAGGTCCCTCTTATCCTAAAGCTAAGAGGGCAATTGAGAGCGGATTATATATGGATGATTTTGTGTATTCGGTCGATAGCGTGGAGGAGGCCACCCTAACCACCGCCGAGGTTATAAGGCTCATGAAATCGGGTCAATTCGATCTTGTGAAGTGGACTAGTAATTCGCGTCCGGTTTTAGATACAATCCCACTATCACACCGTCTTTCGGCGATAAAGGAATTCGACGATTCC